CTTGTTGATAGTTGTTTATAGAATTTACAATATAATTGCAAGATTCGTCGCCCGAACTCAATGAATTTATTTAAATTTTGATTTTTTGATTGAATGAATTTATTTAAATTTTGTATTTATTTAAATCAATTAATGAATGAACCGCATGAAATTCAAATTTAAATTTGTAATTGAATAAATTTGAAATTATTTGAATTATTCTTATGATTCACCATTCAACACATATATGTATATATATATATATATCCATAAAATATTAATGAATTTTAATTTTCAGCAATAATCAATTTATGTGCAACATTTATATGATTCTCTGCTTTTAATAGTCTACAGCTTAGCCTTATACCATATGATATAAATAAAAACTCTTATATTTTAACCAATTAAATTGTATCGTACAGGTTCCGCTCTTTTTCATATTACAATTTTAACATTCTTAAAATTAATTTTTAATCCAGTATTCAAATATCGAGGAACCCACGCCAGTAATTATAACAACAATATAAATTCTTTTAGTTTATTAAACTGAGTTTTATGGAATTCACCTTCATTGTTTCCTTTCTTTTTTTTTTGAATTACGTAATTATTAATTTTGCAATGATAAGAGGAAAAAGAAAACCAGTAGTTCATTATAAAAACAATTAAGAAAAAATTATTATGAAATTTATGGAACAAACAACATCATTAAGAATTAATTAAATTTCTTGATATAAATTATTGTGAATTAATGTATGCCATTACATTAAATGGTATTTACAGTGTATTACAACAAGGTAGACTTGATTTTAATAAATTTACAATATTATTATATTGTGTATCATAATATACCAGTTTTGAAATTAATGAATTTATTAATTAATTAATTAATTAAAATGAAAAAAAAAAATTAATAATTTCACTTGGATATACTCTTTTAAACCACTTATATTTAGATAGAGAAATGAGGAATTCTTTACGTGAGAAATGACGGGAGAAAAATTATTTTAATAGATCAACTAATTTTCATTTATTTTGAATGCAAAATAATATTATCATATTAATTTTTATATTACTCTCAGTTTTAATATTTGACCATTAAAATATTTATGAGATAATATAACTGTTATACATCTAAATTCAAGAGAGAGTTGCTGTATAAGAACATTATTTTATTATTATTTTATTGTTAATGAAAATAATATTAAAAATATTGTAATTATTATCCTAAGTTTATATTGTTCATAATTTGTTTGTTTTTATAATATTATACTTAACTATTATAATTATTTTAATTAAAATTCAATTAATATTGTATAACAGAATTGTATTTGTTCATATAACAAGATATGATTTAAGAATACCTTATTTATATTGTACTTGTATAATTAGTGTTGAAAATATTGAGAAACTTGTAACAAAATCTTGTATTAGAACTACCAATTTGACATATGAAATCTTTATCCAGTATCGAGGATCCATGATTTGTTATATTATTTACAGCGAACATATAATGATTGTATACGTATAGAAACCAAAGCAGCTCCAAATTTTAAACAGCTCTAGAGCAATACTAAACCTATTTTGTACTATTTTTGTTGTTATAAGAATTTGCTCTTTGTGAAGTAACGTAATTGAGCATGCAGCAGAATAGAGAATGAGTGCACGATTAAACTTATACAATTAAACAGATTAAAAGATTTTGTTAATTTCCAAATGAAACAATTCAGTGGCTTCAAGCACAAACGACTTAAGTCTGTTTTAGTGATTTCGAGATAAATGCATTTTAAACTTTAAATTTAATTTTGAAAAAAGTTATGAAGTTTTTTGAGCCAATTTTTTTTTTGATCGAAAGATAATTAAAAAAGGAAGCGATTAACTCATAATCTGAAGTAAAACAACTAATAGTATTCTCATAATTATGAAAAAAGTGAGATAGGCGGTTATACAAAATTTATAAAAAGCACTTTGCAAAGCATAACTCGACTTAGGCGATTTGTGAAAAATTACTTTTGCATTTTCGTCAAACTTAAGTCGACTTAAGCTGTTGTTGCAAAACTGAAAATATAGTTTTAGGTGACTTAAGTTATATTGAAAAGGGAAGAAATATATGTATTATTTTTACGTTATTTGATTTTTCACTCTTTTTTCAAATCATTGTCATTAAAAACATAAATTGAGGTAAAAAATGAATAAACTTCAAGTAAAAATTATTTCTAAAAGTTTAAAAATAATTTTTTCATTAAATTTAAGAAAGGTGACAGTATCTTTTATTCTCTCTCGGATTCTCCAACTAAATATGGATGAGTATCTGCTAAATCTCCAGTCTTTATCGTTTTGTAAAATTTGTAAACCAACAGATAAAAAAATTGCATCAAGTACTCTAAGTTTTTCTTTTTTGGTACTAATTTTCTCTTCTTCTTCAATTTGGAGCATGTGTTGAAAATCTAACTAGTTAACACCTCGTCTTAAAATATAAAAAATCTTTGTATAAACTGTTCTTGTAAAATATTTTTGGAAGTGAATTTTTTGAAATCTGTGGTGCGACTCTTTCCACTTAAGAGAATTTCAAAAAGTAATTCAATTACAAAAAGGCTTCATTGTGCAACGGATCTGACAAAGTTGTTACATTATTGTAAAAATTAGTACATAAAGTAATTTCTAAAATGAGTTTATGAGTTTGGTGTTTGTTATTTTATTTATGTACTACTCGTATAGTCCATATGACTTTCTTACTTGTTTATAATGATACTAAATGCGAATTAATTAAAATTTTTAAATCAAAAACAAAATGAAATCGAGTGTGAGTCATTACAACTACTGTAATGAAAAGTCAAATTTGATAGTGAACTCGAACTCGTATAGAAAATAATGATTCGATACTTGTCAAAATTAAATCTTGGAGACGTATTATTAATTACATATAGAAAATGGTTTGCTCGTCAGTTTTTCTTTAAGTTCTGCCGTAAAAAGTATATAGATCTCCTTAAAAAGTTGTGGTAAAGTAAATTGGTTCTGATAAGTATTTGATTATCAAATAAACAAAGAATATTGTAAGTTTGCTCGACATTTTTATTTTAGCTGTCAGCATTTACTTTTCAATTAAGACTCCATACAAATTAACCACGAGTCAGTTTCGAGCGTTCATGTACTTGAGTGCATTCAGCAAGCCCAGTCGCGAAAGATTAAGCGAATTTTCTAACCGTTCGGCAAATTGTAAAAGGATTTTTCTTAAAAGAATAAAAGTAGAAAGCCTTTCATATTTTTTTATCTCTACAGATATGTTCACATGCCCTATAGGACTCAAAAACTTGCTTTTGAAGGTTGTCAATTTTAAAATCAGGATCATTAATACAGTCACCACGACCAAAGTCAATTGCGGTTTTCAAAACTGTATTAACTTCGGTTTTCAAAGTAAGATCTGTAGTGTAAATACTTGTTTATTAACTATAGGACCAGTTTCGCTAATTTCTATGCTTTAAAACACACTGAATCCGTTACGTTAGTTTCAAATATATTGCAATACCTCTAACATCCTCCACAATCATCTCAGCTCTCCTAGCAAGTTCCAAAATTTTTAACGTACATTTATTAAGCGTGAATAAAGTTTATATTGGATAATTTTTGCATTATTTAACAATTTCCAACATCAGCACATTTAAAAACAACAATAAATAACTGTCTTTGTAAAAAATACTTCCTTCGAAATAACAAAAATATAATAAATATTTGAAAATCGAAGAAATTTAATCTTACGGAAATAAGTAATAAAAAGTATAACAAAATATTGTTATTCCCAGACGTACCAATTTTATTTATTGAAAACCCTTGCAAATTATAATAATTTGAATTTCCTAACAAAATGTGTTTTACTAGTGTATAATAAAAATATTGCTTTGTAGTACAATAATTAGAATGAAAACTCTTGTTAAACACAAAAATTTGTTCTTCCTAACAACATTTGTTTTACAAGGGCATAATAAAACAACACTTTGTTTAATAATACAATTAGACCACAAAGGCAAAACAATCTACCATCAGGTAGCTAGCCACGTGTCATTTTAACATGGGAACTCCGTCAATTGAAAAAAACATTTGTCGCAGGTAAATCACGAAATGACCTACAATATTATTTGTTAAATAAAAAAATTCAAATCTTAAACATGGGATATTTGGGTAATTAGAGCATTAAAAATGCAGGTAACTTGTGCAGATGTTTTATATTTTGGGTTAAAAAATACAACTATCTTACTTGTCGCTGAATGTAAGATTTAATTTTAACTATAGTGAACAAGTTTTAAATCACGGACATAAAATACCTACACTATATATCACATAAAATAATATGTTAAGCGTTATAAAATATTTTTTATTATAAAAAACTAAAAAATATTCTATACTGATTATGTATTATTTCGAACACTAAACGCTTAATTTTGATGTTTTGTTCTTACTTGCACGCGTTATAAAAACCTAACTCGACATAAGAAGCCTTTTGGAATATAATTGTATTTGTAATAATCGCCTAACTCGAGATGAGTTTAAAAAACTACCAATTTTTATTTTACACAAATCGCTTATGTCGAGTTAGTATTTAAAAAAACTCAAAATTAATTTTGCAACAAAAGCCTAACTCGAGATAAGCGGTTGTAAAAATTCATACAAATAAAAAAAAATGTCACTAATTTCGATTTGCAACAATAGCCTATCTCGAAATAAGTGGTTTGTCCAAAACATAAAAAAGATGTTTTCTGCTCTTAACTCGATTTAGGCCATTAGTGCAAGTGCATATGGTTGCCATTTCGAGTTAGGTCATGTGTGAATCCGACAATAACTCCGTCTGCAATAGTCGTAGAACCACCAAAATTTGTGAGCATATGAAACTCAAAACGGAGAATTCGCTGGTAAACATATCTCAATTTTGTCTTAACTCGAGTTAGGCGGTTTGTGTTTGAGGCCACTGAATTATATCCTAATTATCTATTCAAAAATATTACTACTATTTAAATTATATAATAACTTACTTGATCTGGCCTTAATCCAGGAGGTACCCATGTATATTCTTCTAAAGCACAACCACTATCATCATCAGATTGTGAACTTCTTTGGAAATCAATTTGATTATTTGGATGATATGTTTTATAATTACTTTTATTACGTCCACCACCACAACCACCACCAACCGGTGATAATGATGATGCATTTGAATTTGTTAATGATAAATTTGGAGGCGGTGGACATTGTCTACGATATTGTAAACTACCACATGATGGATGTGGTGATGATTGTGTTGATGATATTGATGGCGGTTGACTTTGATAACTATTTGTTGGGGTTGCACTACCTTCTCTACTATCTGTTGTAGCTGTATTTGTATTACGTGATATTCTTAATTCTGAATTATTATCTAATGATTCTACTTTTGTATTTATATAAGACATTTGTAATGTTAATTGTTTATTATTTTGTAAATGTTGATCAGTTGTTGATGTTATCGAATAATTATTTTGTGTTTCTAATAGTTTTTGTTTTTTCCTGGAAAACAAAATAAAATTTCGTTTTATTAATTAAAGAATAAAATAATTTTCTAAGAATAATTATTATAGTTATACACAAATTTAAATTTAAGTCATAAATTTTTAGAAATCTAAATTAGTTAATTTTTATAGTCGTTTAAAAAGATTTTAGATTATAGATAAAGATTGAAGTGGTTAACCTGAATTTTATTTTAAAATCAATAATGATTTTTTTAAACTCGTTAATTTATAACATTAACAATTTTTATAGTTTTCAATGATTGAAGCACATAGTAACTTAAAATTTATTAACGATTTATATTAAAAAAATGTTCCTTGTCTTAAAAATGTTGAACGATTTAGTTCTAATTTTCTTATTCATTAAAATGACATTTGAGTCACGCTAAAATGGCATGTTAGTGACATTTACAAGAGACAAGCGTAGTTAAACATTTAAAATAATTTTAAATATTCTTGTTAGAAACTAGATAAATCAGGTTAATGTATAAAACCTTGTTATTATTACAGGTGTAATGAACATTTAAATATCGTAAATTTTTGTACAAAAGAATTTTTTGTGTGGTTTGTTTTTTAATATTAAAACAATATTTAAATTTCTATAAGAGCATACAAAATAATTAAAACGAATAATAATTAAAATTTTAATAAATATTTTTTAAGGAGTACCAAGCTGTTACCGAAATTTTTTCATTTTCTTTCAAATATAATTAGCCCGATCATAAATTACATTCGTACTTCTGAAATTCGGAAAATTACGAATTTCATATTGTCAATTTCGAATTATCTACTACAATTCTGCTCCGATTATTTGTAATAGAGTAATCTTGAATTACGTTTCTATTAAAAATAGTTCTCGAATGTTTACGAAAGAAATAATCAGACGTAAAAAGCAATTTAAAGAGAATGATCGTTTTAAATTTTTAATTGTTGAATTTTTTTGTTTGGACTTTGGAGTCCCCCCCACACATGCCGTGAAGGGACATTCAATTTATATTCTGAAGCTCCGAAAAATGGTGCTGCTATTGCTGATAAATAATCTCTATACGAAAGGGATTTGTGATAATTTAAAAGTCTATGTCGTAGCTAAGTTCGTAATTCATAGGATTATGCATGTGAAATTCATGATAAGACTGAATATATTTGGAATTCATTTTCATTTACAATTTGACGAAATGTCTTGATTTTCAATATGAAATGGTTGACGAATTGAATTCATGTGTATGTATGTAAAATATATGGTGATAGAAACTGAGAGAAACTCTTAAACTATTTACATAAGTTAAACATAAGCTTTATATTTTTAACATAGCTAATTAAGGACCAGCCTTAAAATATTATACGAAAGAAATTTCAGTTTAATATTAAAAATTTTTTAATTTTATGACTTTAAACCTGTATAGTCTTTTATATTTTTATATCTACACATATACAAATTATATCTCACATATTTTATTGTTAAGTTATAAATTTAAATTATTATTCTTGCAACAATGTTTGATAAAATCGCCTATATTATTTTCTCTTCATAAATCTTCATATATTATGATTTTTATAATGAAAAAATTTCTTAATTAATTCTTTGACTAGGATTTGCATACATAAATACTATTACATACATACTATGGGTCCATAAAAATATTGAGACATAAAATAAGAAATTAAAGTATTAATTATTTTTTTGTTATATTTTTTTTCTTTAAAAAGTTTCTTTTGAATATTCAATAAAAATCTTTTATAAATCTTAAAATTTTTATAACATTTCCTTAATTTTATTACATTTAATAAATTTCTCATATGTCTTATAAATATCCAACATATAATTTGTTATATATAAATGTGTATGGCGAGTATATAGGAAAAATGCTGGAATTGATTACGAAATCAAATTTTTAAAAAATTTAAAATGCACGTACATGATTTTTGCATTTACAATATTGTAAAAAAATTAAATCCTAAATAAAATCAATTTAATTTTTTTTTATAATATTCAAATAAATTTACAATATACATATTAGATACGTTCGGTCTCCTTGGATTTATATAGGTTTGAATTTTCTACTGAGAATATTTCAAAGAAGAGAAAAGAAATGTCTTAATTTCTTTCTCATATTCCCGATTTGTCCGACGTTCGGAAAATTTATTATTGTCAATTGAATAAAATGTCGAAATATTTCCAAATATTTTAAAATAAAGTTCATATCAAAATATGTAAAATAAGAAGTCAGATATTTACGGGAAATGCCCAAGTTTTAATAAATTTCCTCATATCAAGTTTCATCAAGAAATCTAACTTTTAGAAAATCTAAAGCAAAGCGGGAAAGATACGCAATAGATCTACATTATTTTTATGAATATTTCTGTTTTTAATACAATTTACTACTTTTCTAGATTAATTTAATTTTAGGCTTTAAATCCTTTCCTTAAATCTTCTATATAATAATTCGTATTCTCAATTACTTTAATAGTATTAAAAAGATAAAAAAAAACAGAAAACGAAAACCAAGAAAATATTTAACATTGTTAAAGAAAATAACAAAAAAAAAAAAAAAAATAAATCAGAAGTCATCGCCATCTTCCATTAAAATCATCATCACTTCATGGTTCTGTTCATTTTAAAATGTTAAGAATTTTTCCGCCAAATTAAAAAAAAAAAAAAAAAACAAGAAAAATTTACACTTTACTGCAATTATTTTGAACTACACACACACATATATTACCATCAATAACACCAGTTCTCTAAAAACTCTTCTACTACTTAGTATAGATAAATGAAGATTTTTATATCAGTACATGAACGCTATTACGTGTATACGCGAGTATTTCTCTCTCTCTCTCTCTTTCTTTCTATGTAGATTGTAATTTATGTACACGTACACGATTCTTTCAATATTTTCAGTTTTACCTTCAATATACACTCATAAAAATATAAAAAAAGAAAAAAAAATGAAAATTAGAGATATTTTTTTTTTTTTACAAACCGTCAGGTTTCTAAAGATGATTGCCCACATAAAAGTTGTTATCATAAAAATTACATGCTTTATTCCTAGATGCAATTAAGATGCATTAAAAAATGCAAAAACAAAGAAAAAACAAAAATGATTTTACTTATTGTGTACGTATAGGTGTATGTGTACACATTATAAAAAATTAAATAAATTCTTTAACTTTTTGTTTAATATTCTAAAATTTAGAAAAACAAAATCTACAAAGTTTTTATATGAAAATAAAGTTGGTAAACTATGGTAATTTATATGGTGTACGCCGGCCGTTATGGTTTAAGAAACCTTGACAGTGAATTAAGAGTTCAGTTTATTATTCGGGAAAAATATATCAAAATTATTTTATGAAGAACACGGCTGTTTTCTGCCTTAACTTGTTCTTTTGATCACGTCATCCATCTGTTCTGCAGTTGAATTAGTTACTGCTGTAGTTTCCGAAATTTCCATTAATTACTGCTGTTTGATTATTGGGGCAGAAAAATTCACGGAAGAATTTTTCTTAGTTATTATGAAGAATTCGGAAAAATTTCGGAATCAGAAAATTCCTCCGAAATCAGTCATATTATTAGTCAGATTAGTCTAATGTGTTGTTTATATTTTATAGAATATCTGCGAATCAAAAAATTGTAGACATTCTTCTACAGCAAACACAAATAATTAGAATTACATTATAGAATACTGCTTTTGCTAAATAATTAATATAGTACTTTGAAAATTCAAAATTTTTTTTTCAGTACAATTTGCAATTCACAAAATGCAGTTTATATGCAATTTAATAATATTATATATTCTCTTATAGAGGAATACAATAGTTACAAAATTCCAATACTCATATTTTGACAACAAACCCAAAACAATATGGGCAACAATTAAAATGAACTCCTATTCAATTGTATACCATAATATTTGACCAATTTCGAATATTAAAATTTACAATAACGTTTCTGATATCAAAAATTAATCGTAATTATTACTATAGTAAAGAAACGTATAAAATTTTAATGCACCTGTAAACCACATGGTAAACACAATTAAGATGATTATATAATCAACTTATTGCATCACTAACTTGCATATACTTTTAGTTTCATATGAGTATAATTGTATGTAATAACATGTTTCGTTAATTTTTATCATAAGTTTTCCCTTTTATAAATACATACATGCATTTATAAATTTTTAATGAATTTTATTTTTATCCCTTTACGATTTTAGATATATGGGTGTGTATGCACGCATTCACGTTTCCACGAACTTTGAAAAAATGATGATGGGATTTTTGAAAAATTATTTAAGTACATACACAGTTATATACACAATATAAGTATGTAATCTATAATGGAAAATTTCATCTTTAAAAAATGAAAAAAAAATCTTTAATATATTTAAACTTGAAGCAGGAATGTTAAACACTCGGACACACATATAATCAGTTTAAAATTAACTATTTTTTTTTATTCGTACAATATGATAAGATGGTTACTCGTATAGGAGAAAACTAAAGACAATGTTTGTAATATAAAATGTGTACTGAGATTTACTTTTCCAACCTTGAAAATTTTTAATAATGCAAGTTTGGAATTGTTTATACAGTATAATAAAAAAAAGAGAATACTTTTTTGTATATCTAGCCGCAATAGTATATTTTTATAAATGAAATTGTATTGCAACCATTGAGAAGTTAAAAAAAAAGACGGTTTTTAGCACATTTAGCAAAAAAAAATTTTTATTACCAAAAAAAATCTTATTAACTATGCCATAATAATTTGTCCATCACGCCCGATTTGTTTCCATTGCAAGAAAAATCTTATTAACTATGCCATAATAATTTGTCCATCCCGCCCGATTTGTTTCCATTGCGAATGGAAACAAATCGGGCGGGCCCGGCCATTGCCCGATTTGTTTTGAAATCTTAGAAGAAGAAACTATTATTTCGCTCAACTATAGATTTCTGACTTATCTAGTGAAATAACTATTATTATTTCATATAAAGTTGTGT